TTATTTATTTTTTTAGTTGTAGATGGACACAATGCCTTTACTTTATTTTTATGTGCTGAGGATGGAACCCAGTGCCTCACCTATGCTAGGCAAGCGCTCTACCACTCCAGCTCCCCCAGATCCTGGTTTCAAAGACTTGCTTTAGTCAGCTTTCATGACACTGTGACCAATATGCCTGACAAAAACAACTTAAAAGGAGGGAAAGTTTATTAGACGCTCATAGTTTCAGAGGTTTCAGTCCAAAGTGGTCATTCCAGTGCTCTAGGCCCAAGATGAGGCACCATAATATGGGAACAGGGCCCAGTGAAGGAATGCTGCTCAGATCATGGAGAGGTCATGAAGCAGGGAGAGAGGGGAGAAGGGGCCACAGGGAAGATGCAGCTTCCAGGGCACACCTCAGTGACCCATCTTCTCCAGCCATGCCCCACAAGCCTGCAGTTACCACCCAGTTAGTCCATTCAAACGAGGATAGACTGAGAAGGTTGCAGCCTTCACAATCCAATCATTTCACCTCTGAACATTCCTGCATTAACACAGGTGCTTTGAAGGACATCTCATATCCATACCATAACCACCATTTCTATTAAAAGAAAACTAAGGTTCTTTGGAAACATAGTTGATACTAGGATTATGGCAGAGGGAAGATAAGATAAACATATAACTGCTTGTTACAGCAGAAAGTAATGAAGTTCTCAAAAATAAAGTTGGGGTCATGTCATAAGCATGCAGGGGCCGGCATGATAGGGGCTCCTACTAGCCAAATCTGGGACAATTTAGGCACTAAAATAATTAAAATGGTCCTTCTCCCATTTTGTATTTTGTATTTGCTTCTCCCAACAGCATCAGTACTTTTATTCATTTGTTCAGACAATAAGGGATTACAAACATTGAGAAAAACTGAAATTCGTGAGTCCATGATGACAACAGATTAATGAGAATAAGGCAACAAAGAATGCCAACTGCTTTATTTTATAATATTTAACATTAAAAAGTTTTTTAAAGATGTATTTTTGGAACCCAGAAAAATAACACGTTAAAAGCTGCTAAGAAAACAGAGGCTTTAGAACAGCATAAGTGTGACTCAGTGAAGAACTGACCTTAATTAGTATCTCCTTCTATTTAAAATCAGTTCAGACACTCCGAAATATACTGCTTTGGAGTAGGGGATTCTTACACAACAAAGATTTCAGCCTTTGCTTTCATTGACTATAATCTTAATTTGTTTTAAAAAATGTTATTGAGTTAGTAAAATCAAATCCTCAAATATATCCACTACATTATTCAATGTCTTACATAAAGCTTTATGGACACATCCCTCTTAGAATGTGAAGTCAGAATTTTTTTCTCCTAAAGGACATGCATACTTTATCAGAAAATTGAATTAAGTGCTTGTGAGGTAATACAGGTTACTTAGCTTGAGTTAGCCATTTTACAATGTGTATATATCTGTATCTGTATCTAATATATTTCAAAATAATATGTTGTACAAAATGAACACAATTTTTCAATTAAAAATAAGTTAATTTAAAAAAAAATGATAATAAGAGCTAAATAATTCATCAATTTCCTTTGTTGCCAAGGCTGTCAGAAAATTTATCTCTTTTCTATATGGTTGTTTTGATCTAATTTATCTTGTATTTAATCTCACAAGGGTATATGTTTTCTTTGAAAAACACCTCAAGTTCTTCAAGATAGAAGAGGGACTGCAGGTTAAAATTAAAAACTAATCATCTTAATAATATGATACAACACTAATGTAAAATAATAGAGCCTCTTAATAGCAGTACTACAAATATAGCAATTGAATTCATTTGTGGTTAAAAAAAGAAGCTTTAGTCAACTCAAATATACAACCATTTAGACTGATTGCTTTTTAATAAGACAAAAGCAAAATGTTGGAAGCAATATTTACAAACAAAATTATCTTTCCACATCCAAGCTACTGCTTGGGAATCTCAAAACTATATTTCAGATAATTAGAATTGAACTTCCCTTTACAGTATGAGACCCTTTAAATTAATAAAATTCAAATTCTAATTCTTACAACAAAATATGCAAAAGAGAAGACAGTTTTGTTTAATGACCTTTTTCTTGATAAATACTATAATGATGATCTTGAGAAATAATAACAGAAGCTACTTCAACTGCAGGCTTACCACAAGGTAGGCACTGTGGTGCAGCTGCTTATCTCTGATCAAAATTACCATCTCTAAGAGTTTCAAAAAGCATTGTTCTATTAACATTTCTAATTTGTTTCCACATTGGCAAAATTTACTCTCAAAACCTTACAACAGGGAAATTCAATAAAAGTCTTCAAAGACTTTTCTGTAAGTCTGAAGTTACTTCAAAATAAAGTTAAAAAGTTCTCACTCAGAACCATTTTATTTTTATTTCAAATTGATACTTTAAAAACTGAAAGTCCTCACATGGAACTATGGCTACCTGTGGGTGAGGAGTATGATATTCCACCTTATGGATCTGGAGAAACAATTACTGAAGTTATATTCTTTGTACTTGATTCAAGTTCTAAAAAGCTTAACAAATAAAAATATGAAGCTAAAATTAATAGTAAATAATCCATATGATATAACAATTCAGATAGGTTTAAATAGGTCTTGTTCAAACAGCAGAAATGTGAATATGCATGCCCAAATGCTAAAAACAAAGGAAATGCCAAGGCATGACCGCATGCTAATTCAAAACAACTTTATGGACATTCAAATCGTCTACAGAAACACCTTAATTTTAACTGGTTTGTGTTGTTTTAAAATTTTGACCATTCTATTTAATTCCAATTTTTTTTGTATCACTAAGTAGTTATGGTTAAAACACACACACTCCTCAAGGTGTTAAATATTTAACTTGTTTCCAATATGTGAAATAAGCATTGCTTTTGGTTCTTCCTCCAAAAAAAGGGCACTATTATTTGTTCTGATATTTTCTCTAGTGTCATTCTCTGCTTCAGAGATGACAATAAACCACAGAGGATGAATTTACACTCAAAATAAGATAAAAACTGAAATAATGCTTAGTAATATCTCCTCTTTAGTTGGAATCTACCTGAGAGTTCTATTTTACAGTAAAATGTGTGCTATCACCTTGACTCCATCCATCATCATCAACCTAGATCCCTCTCTCTTTATCATCAACCTTGATCCCTATAAGAACTTTTTTTAAAATATATTTTTAGACATTGATGAACCTTTAATTTTATTCATTTATTTATATGTGGTGCTGAGGATAGCACCCAATGCCTCACACATGCTAGGCAAGTGCTCTACCACTGAGCCACAACCCCAGCCCCTTGTAAGAATTTTTACTGGTTTCTCATGTACCCTTTCAGATTTATTATGCAGTTCTTTATTAAAATAAAGAGGGTTGCAACTACTCCACAAATTGTTGTGCTTTCCTTTGTACCATTTATCTCAATTCAATGAGACCTAAATAATGTCTGTCTACCCTGTGGCAAGGCTTCGAGTAGTTCCACAGGAAAAGCAAAAAGATCAGTGAGCAAAGAAACACCAAAACTAGCAGTCACACAGACACGAGCTAACACACATTAATCAATCCTTCACCTCACCAGCAATACTAAGGCAAAAAAAGAACTAGTCTTTTCTAAATACGGAGCATGGTACCTAATACATCTATTTTACTATAGTTCCTTTTACAAAATATAGAGGATATTTAGTCTTTTGAGGGAGGGGGCAGGGACAGTAAAAGAATTCTTTGTCAATCACACTTTGTGACAGAATGATGCATAATCGCAATGTCACTTCAGGACTTAAATGAAACCTTGGTACTCAAGTGCTTGTTTTTATTATGGTTTGGAAATAAAAACTATAAGTACCAAGTAAATGATAAAAGCAAGCGTCAGAAAAATGTAGCAGACAGAGTACATTTCACTTGGAACTATCAGGAAAGACATTAAGGCTGAACTAGGCAAGGTTGGTTTTAGGGAGTAGAGAATGGGGTAAGACAAGGAAAGAGCAAAGAGTCAACTTAAGGGGTTTTATACTTTAAAATATCTAAGCAGGGAATGGCAAACTACAACTAGTGGTCCAAATCCAATCCACTGCTTATTTTATTTGGTTTAAAGGTTCATCAACATTTAAAAAAATTTTTTTAATTCTTTTTTTTAAATGGTTAAAAAAATCAAAAGACATTTCATGACACATGAAAATTAAGATATTCATATATGAAGTTTTACGGCTACACAGCCAAGCCATACATTCGCATGTCTGTGATCTACAAGGCAGAGCTGGGAACTGCAACAGAGACCTCAACTCACAAAGCCTAAAATATTTACTATTGGCATTTCAGAGAAAAAAATTGTCAATCTCTTCCCTTAGGACAGCCTATTTATCTCAAATATTATAAGTGAGGGGCTGGGAAGAGGATGGTGAGAAAGAATAGAATAAGAGACTCATAGGTGGAAGTAAGGATTTTAGTCCACATCCTAGAAGTAGTGGGGAAGTCATTAAATAAAGAGTTTTAAGGAAAATGACAACTAGATTTGTATTTTGAAAAGATCATTCTGGCTGTTATACTGGGAGCTAGAGTGTTAAAAGATAAATAAGAAAACTAGTGTAGTAAATAGTTCAAGCAAGATAAGAACTTAATTTGTGGGAGCAAAATTATTTCTTAACCCAGAAGGGTTCAAAGTCTGGCTATGCAACTTGCCAGGTTATTTCAATTCTCACATTCATTATGTTACAACAGTTTTAGGTAGAGAAAGCTAAAAATATTCCAAAGTATGTACATCTAAAAAGTTTGGGAATTATTACAGAATAAGTGCTCCCTTAGAATACTTTCTAAAATGTTTTATTCTTGTTATACACTAGAAAAGACTTTTACTAAATTTACAATTAAAGAATTTACAAGTAAACAATACAACATAAATTAACAAAAACAAAAAAGGGAATATATACAAATGCTGCTTAGGTACATTTTTCAGAGCCCTTTTTTCCCATAGTGTAGTAGTAACAAAACAAAGAACGTACCTGCTACATTCTAACAACGTAACTTTAAGACGTCCTTCAGCAAGTGCCCACTGGTGTATATGGATATACTCTTCATCTTCTTCAGATTCTTGCAAGGTCTGATAAGGAAAAAACGGCTTGAACCTGACAAAAGTAAAAATAAGTCTAAATTTCTAAATAATACACCACTCTAAAGTTCAAAGCACAATAACAAAACATACACATACTTTAAAAAACAATACAAAACACCTAATACTGCATGTGCTCTACAAAACCAAAGCTTATTGTATCTGCCCATAAATGGCAACAACTGGTGGTGGCACTTTTTTTTTTTTTTTGGTACTAGGGATTGAACCCAGAGATACTTTTATCACTGAGCTACATCCCCTGCCCTTTTCATTTATTTTGAGACAGGTCTACCTAAGTTGCTGAGGCTGGCCTTGAATTTTCAATCCTCTGGTCTCAGCCTCCCCAGTCACTAGAATTATAGGTATGTGCCACCATGCCCATAAAATGGTGCTTTCTTTATAGCACCCAGGAATTCTCACTTTTTGGTCTGCTCTCAATAAAAAGGCAGGACTCATCACTAGAAAGGAAACTCCAGAAGGAGCCAGTAGGTTTAGGTGGGGCAGGAGATTCTTTGGATCAGATGGGAAAAGTGTTCCTATAGCACAAGTTCAAAATTCAGAATGTACTGTTTTATGGAAATGATGAGATAGAAATTAGTACATGATAATGATAATTTCAGTAAAAATTAATAGCAGCAAGGTATTCACCAGAGTAACAAGGTAACAAGTAACCAGTCTAGTAGCTGTTTCACATGCATTATTTTATTTAATGCTCACAAACTAAGAGGTGATATTGCTTGCTCTTTTCTGCAGATGAAGAGTGAGTCTTCATCTGAGTGAAGCATTTGTTCAATTTTACACAGTGGGTGGCCAAACCAGAATTCAAGCTAGTCTGACTCCACCAAAATCCAAACTCTCTCACAATTTTGTCACCCATGAATTATTTGGGCTATGTGTTCATTGTTAACCCTTATTTTTAATGGAGATACTTATGCTGAATTATATAAACTGTAGGCTTTAAAAAAACTTTTTAATCTGAAATAGAACTCATACTCCTCCATTATAGCAAAGGACAAAGAAAATGAGAGAAAACTGGGCTTGAGGCCCTGTAGTTTTCAATTCACCCTAAACACTATCACTAACCATGGCATTTGTTTGTTCAGAAAGTTTTCATGGCTTCCCACTAACCACAAAAGAACAGCAAGAAAAGAGCTAGGTGTGGTGGTGCACACTAGTAAGCCTGTAGTCCCAGCTATTCAGGAGGCTGAGGCAGGAGTCACAAGAGTTCACAACCATCCTGGACAACATAACACTATCCTGTTTCAAAAGAGAGAGTGCTAAGTCACTAGTTCCACATTCAAGATCCACCACAATTTTTCTAATCATATATTTACTTAAAATAAATCTTTCATTCTAGGAAGTTACCTTCTATAGTTCAAAAACATTACATATTCCTGCTTTCAGGTCTCTGTGCCCACTGAAGGTTTTCCTTAGTACTCAAGGATTGTCCAGCTCCTAAGCTCTTTCTATATTTGGTTTCAGATTCTAGACCACAGCACTCCCATCCACTGGTTTCAATTCTGTTTATCTTGCAGTCATTTAAATGGCCTAGTCTCACAATTCTCTGCACAAGTCACATATCTGACAAGTCTCCTCATACACTTAAGACTTGAGTATGTGATGAGTTAATTATAAAAATCCAACACTGAAAATGAAATAAAACACTTGGAAAGTATTAATAGCCCACTATAGTTTATACCAGAAAAATACTGAAGAGGGGAAGTATCACCATCTATCTGAGGCGGCAACCTACGGTGGGTTCACAAAATCTGACTATTTCAATAACTTAAGGAAACGGCCAAGAAACCATGCAAACACACAGAAGTACCTTTTCAAAATACAAGGATGGCTCTGTAACCTTAGGGGTCCATGGAAAGAGAGAGAACCACTGGAATTCTTTTTTTCTTATATAGAGAACACACAAGGGGAGGTTCCATGGAACATTCTATCCCAAAAAGGGCAAAGGGGTAGGATTACCAAGGAACAGGTGAGTGTAACTCAACCCCACCGGGTGACGCCCACTCCTGGAGCCACACCTTCCTAATCCAAGCAGAAGTAAAGCCCAATGTATTGTGGGGTACAATAACTGCTCAGCACCTCTTTACTCAGGACTTACAGGTGTGCACAAAGCTTCTGTCCAGAGCGGCTCCCAAATGGGAAGGGTACTGTTTTATGTCTTCCTGGTAAACAGTACTAAAGAAAAAAAAAACTTTTTAAGAAAACAGAATTAGACACACAGACAATGCTTAGTGCTTTCTCCTTTATCTGAACTAGTATAGCAAACAGAAGTTTCGTTTCTCCCAGCTACTACACTAATTTGCATTTGAAGTCATTTGATTCAGACAGACTGGCACCAAAGTTTTAGAGGGAAAAACATAGGAACCAAATTAATTATATTAACACAATGCTATAACTGAGTGCTTTTAACACAAACCTTATAGCTGCTAAAGAGCATATAACCTTGTTACTCTGTAAAAAAATTACAAATATCATTACATACACTAGCAATTTCAAATGTAGTAACCCAAGCTAATTAGTTAAAATAAAAACTGCTTTTAGAAAACTTTTCTTGTCAAGTTTAAAGTTAAAATTCAATAAAAAAATTTCTCACAGGGGTGTGAAATGAATGTTATATGGAATAAAGTCTAATTTGGTTAAGTAATACCTAGAGGGTTTAACTAAGAGTGTTTATGCACAAAAATATATTAAAATCAGAAAAACAAAATAAAAATAAAATAAAAATAGAAACATATTCCTTTTAAAATGAATATACTAAGCTGTGATGCAGCTCAGTGGTAGAGCACTTGCCTAGTATGTTTGAGGACCAAGCTTTAATGCCCAGTGCAGCCAAGAAAAACAACAGAATCCACACACGAATGTTTTATAAAAACACTTGGTTTTCAAAACATTTAAGTCCAAGCCTTTTAAAATATCTCAAACCCATAAGGACTCCAAATAATTATGCAGACTTCCTGTTTCCCTTCCTTTTATCTTCCTGTCCTACCGAATTATCTTTCCTTAGTTTATCTCCTGTTAGTCAAAAATGTCCATTTTCTCGCTCAAGTTCCCAGGAAACGAGCCTTCTTTACCAAGCTACCTGAACTCCTCCTACAGAAACTTAGGGAATTAACCTAGGAAAATTTATTTTCAGGGTAATAGCATGAGGAACTGTGCTGATGGGCTCCCCAGTGAAACTGGTGAAAACTATTTTAAAACAAAATACCGACCGCGCGACTGGGCGGCTAGAGATCACCCGCACACCGGCGACAGCCCACCCGCTGCCCGCGTGACTGGGCGGCTGGAGACCGCCCACCCGCCAGCGACCGGGAGCTGAAACCAACCAGAGACAGTCCAGTCCCACCCCCACCCCCATTCGGAAACCCCGGCAAGGAGCCTGGGGCCAGCCATAGCAGAGAGGTGACGACACAGGAGTTCGGCCATCGGAATTCCTTCCCAGCGGATTCCACTTTAGCAGGCAGAGTCTACCAACACAAAGGAGAGACAACAGAGATATACAAAACCAAAACAAATCTATAGAAGAGAGCAGAAACACAGCAATCAAATAGAGCTGGAAAGTAACGTGAACATCATGAAAAAACAAGGGAAAAAAGGAGTACAAACAATGCAGGGCAACTTAATTCTACAGGAGGACCTAGAAGCATCAGAAACAGGGATAGGGAAAGAACTCAAGGCATACCTAACTCAGATGGAAAGGAATATTAGAGAAGACATGAGGCAGCAAGTCCAAGCAATAAAAGTATATTTTGAAAATGAATTAAACAAACAAATTCAAATGGCAAAGAACGAGCTTTACCAGGAGATAAAGATCTTTAAAAAAAATCAAACAGTAATCCTAGAAATGCAGGAAACTATAAACCAAATTAAAAACTCAAACAAGAATATTACAAATAGACTAGATCAAGTAGAAGTCAGAACATCAGATAATGAAGACAAAGTTTATCAACTTGAAAAGAATATAGTCAACACAGAAAAGATGCTTAAATCCCATGAGCAATCTATTCAAGAGATATGGGATGTCATAAAAAAACCAAATTTGAGAGTCATCGGGATAGAAGAAGGCATAGAGATTCAAACCAAAGGAATGGACAACATATTAAATGAAATAATTCTAGTAAACTTCCCAGAGATGAAAGATGGAATGGATTGCCAAATCCTGGAAGCCTACAGGACCCCAAACATTCAAAACCGTAATAGACCAACTCCAAGACATATAATTATGAAGATAGCCAACATACAGAACAAGGAGAGAATATTAAAAGCTACGAGAGAAAGGAGGCAGATTACATTCAGAGGTAAACCAATTAGGTTAACAACTGATTTTTCATCACAGACTTTAAAAGCGAGAAGATACTGGAACAATGTATTTCAAACGCTGAAAAACAATGGATTCCAACCAAGAATACTGTATCCGGCAAAATTAAGCTTCAGATTTGATAATGAAATTAATATCTTTCACGATAAACAAAAGCTAAAAGAATTCGCTGCCAGAAAACCAGCACTGCAAAGCATTTTCAGCAAAATACTACAAGAAGAGGAATTGAAAAATAGTGCCCAAAACTAACAGCGGGAGGTATCTCAGTAAAGGGGGAGGAAAATAACCAAAAAGTAAAAACTAGCCAAACTAAAATAAATAAATAAATAAACATGACTGGAAGTACAAATCATATTTCAATGGTAACCTTAAATGTTAACGGCCTAAACTCACCAATCAAGAGACATAGGCTAGTAACCTGGATCAAAAAAACAAATCCAACAATATGCTGCCTTCAGGAGACTCATAAGATAGGAAAAGACATACACACGCTGAAGGTAAAAGGTTGGGAAAAATCATACCACTCGCGTGGCCCTCACAAGCAAGCAGGAGTGGCCATACTCATATTGAATAAAATCAACTTCAAACCTAAGTTAATCAAAAGGGATAAAGAAGGACACTATATACTGTTAAAAGGAACCATCCACCAACAAGACATAACAATTATCAATTTATATGCACCA